CAATCTCTTAAAAATTTCTTATTAAATAATTTCTTATTAAATAATTTCTTATTAAATAATTTTAATGCCAATCTCTTAAAAATTTCTTATTAAATCATTTCTTATTAAATAATTTTAATGCCAATCTCTTAAAAATTTCTTATTAATATCCATTCCGGGGAGGTGGGGGGAGAAGGAAGAGGAGGAGAAAATACGTTAGATTTTGGAAGAAAATGGGAAAAGACAAAATTGGATAAAAGAAATAAAAAAGTTGAGAAAAAAGTAATGAGAAGAAAGGAGAGAGAAAATTATGATGTCGAGTGGGGAAAAAAGATAACAGAATGAAGTAAAGAAGCTTCTATAAGATTTGATTAGTTTATTAAGAATGGTTGGCAAAGTTTTATGATAATCTTTATCGCATATATTTTTATTTGTTTGTTAATTATTATATTGTTTTATGTTAACAAAGATGTTATTGCATAATAAATGATTTTAACATTTTGTTAAACGATTGCAAACATAAGGAACATTTCAAAACCATAAATGGCGAAAATATTAAAATCCAATTTTCTTTTATTTATTTCTACATTCAAAAAACCATAGCCACACATATTCGTATGAGAAAAAATGGACATTTTTATTGTCTGTAATATTTATTCTTATTCTATAGAAAATTGTTTGGCAAGTTACCACGATACGATTCTTCTTTATATACTTAAGGTGAATTTTTCCCATAGAACCCATTGATGCGTCTACGTTTTCATCTCAATACTTTTCTAAGTTCAGGATTATCAAAGTTCCTTCCTTTCTTTTTTTTTTTCTTTTTCACTTTCCTCATTTTTCTTTCGTACTTTTTCTTTTCCTTTTCTTTTTTTTTTCTCGTTTTTTTTTTTCTATTTTATTTTACTCCATCCATCTTTTACGACAAAATACTATCGAATAGGAAAAATCAAGAAGAAAATAAAGTAGCGCAGCTTTTACGAAAAATATTTTTTCAGCTTATCAATAAATCGTACTAAAATTACAATACTTTCTACACATATACGTAAAAGAATTGTAAATCATTTTAAAGAAAACTAAAATACTATGGGGAATTATGTGAACATTTTTCTCGCATTTTTGAATTTTCTACATACGTGAGAGAAAACAAAATAAAATAAAAGAAAATAAAATAAAAAATAAAATAAAATAAAAAACGTTTCTCTATCAAACGTACGTTTACAAGATCACAAATCATTTTGATAATTATTTTCATTTAAAATTAGAAAATTAACAAACAATGCGTTATAAAGAAGAATAAGAAGAAGAAGAAGAAGAAGAAGAAAAATATTACCACCAGTTCTTTACAACTTTACATACTTTACTATTATTTATTTTTATCCCCTTTATATCGTTATCTACATTTTCTTTCCCGTCTTTTACAGGAAAAAAGGGGGGGGTTTTTTTTTCTTTGCTTTCATTTTTCAGGTTTTATATTAAACAGAATCCGTATAACGTTTCTTCAACGACAGACATAAGTGGCGTGAAGTGTTGGAGAGCTTGGAATATTGTTAAATCGAAATACGAAAAACCGAAAGTGTCTGTCACGTTCTTCTACAAACTACACCCTTTTCCTTTACCACCCTTCTCACTCTTCCCCCAACTCCTCCCTTCACTCCTCTTCCACAAGCACTTCTTTTTATCCTTCTCTCGAATTCGCGATCAGAATTTTCTTTCGAATATGCTTTGAACACGTGAACCTGACAAAATGAGCAAAAACCTTTGAATCTGTTTCGATTATACATTTTTTTGTTCCTCGTTTTATTTTCTTTTTCTTTTATTCCTTTTTTTAATTTGTTCTCTCTCTCTCTCTCTCTCTCTCAATTATTGTGTTTTTTTTTTTTTTTTGATTACTTCTTCGTACCGATACTTATAAATTTTGAATTTGCGAATTTTCCGATAATAATTTTCGATATTTTCATTTCCTTTGTTATTACGGTTCAAATGGTATTGTCCGTGCCAATATTCCCGTCGGATCAAATTGATTTTTGAAAATTTCTCTCTCTTTTTCTGTCTCTGTCTCTCTCTCTCTCTCTCTCTCTCTCTCTTTGTTATCGAAGTTTGTTTATTCTTTTTCTTTATTTTCCTTCTCGATGGTAATATACTTACGAAGCTAAATATTTAATAGATCTCGTAACGAACGTATACGACGATTTTATTTTTATGTTTTTGGTTACGAAATGTAAAAAAAAAATACTCGAACGAATACGCAAATTTTCTTTACAATTTTTCAAAGCATTCCAATACGAGAACTGATGTAAAGGGTCCGAATAGACCGAATTTTTCATTAATATAATTGAAAGAAGTAAAGCGTGCATGAAAGAAAGGTCTTGAATAAGAATAATAATGATAATAATAATAATAAAGAAATTGCCTTCTTATCTTTTTTTTTCTCTCTCTCTCTTCTTAATCTTGGATTTTTTTTTTACGATATGAAGTAATGAATAAAATAAAGAAAAATATTATTCCCTTGCTTTTACACACACCTTTTTTTTCTTTTTTTTTTTAATTTCTTTTCGTTTAATATTATATTTTGCCTTTCACATATTTTTTTATTAAAAAGATTAGAGAGAAAATTAATATCGATACGTCTTAAAGTGAATCAGAAAGAAAGAAAGAAAGAGAGAGATGGAAATATCAAAAGAAAAAAATAAGCATAATACATTTTTTAATTTCTATAAATACAAAATTACACAAATAATCAAAATGTAATAAATTCTTTATCTGTTTTAATACAGTGTTAACAAAATATTAAATTCTATTAATAGAATATCGAAACAATTATCGTGTTAATAAATTTACAATTATTATTAACAAGCAAATAAATTTCGTTTCTATTTCTCTTTCTCTTCTTTTTTTTTCTTTATTTTTAATTCAATCTAAATTACATTAGACTTATTTACACGTAACAATTCATCCGAAGTCGCATAATTTTGATAGAAATCGTTTAAAATCGAAGAAATCTCGCAGAAGTTTCCCATTTTGGCATGTTTTCAAGACCGATTTCGAACACTCTGTCATAACTTGGCGTTACTTTAATTCAAACAATAAAAATCATTTCTTTCATTATCCATCTTTTCTTATCGATTTTTCTTTTTTCTTTATCGCCTTTTTCTTTTTTTTTCTTTCGTCTACTTTT